TCATTGAGAATGAGTAGGATGCGCTCAGCGCGGCCATTCTGTTGTGAAGTGTAGTGGCAGGTTAAGAGGAAAATGGTGCCGTGAGAGGCAAGAAGATCTCGAATGGCGACATTGTCAAATTCTTTTCCATTATCGGTTTGGAGTGCAAGTATGGGGTGACGGAACTGTGTGGTGACATATGAATAAACTATCGTGAGCGAACAAAAAAAATCGTCTAAGATCACCAAATAATAGAGATGGTCCGTGTTACTTGCAACTGGAGATGTCTAAACATCACTGTGAAGTAATTGAAACAAAAAATGGAAATAGTGGTGGATGCACTAAAAGGAAGATGAACGTGCTTGCTGAGACGGCAAGCCTCACAAGTATGGTCATCGATCTTATTACATGAGAATGAAAAACTCTTAAGAATTTGACGCAACATGGTGGAGTTTGGGTGTCCTAAACGAGCATGACAAAGGTCGACACCTGCGGCGAGGGCGACTGGAGTGGTGGAGGTGGTGGCGGAAGAGTGCACCGGGTAGAGCTCATCATGACTATCATATCGATGGAGAACCATCCGGGTACGGGCGTCCTTCACAGAAAAACTGACATCATCGAATTCAACGGTAATGGGATTCTCACGAGCAAGACGACGAATAGAAACAAGGTTCTTGCCTAAATCAGGGGAAATGAGAACATGAGACATGGTGAGTGGCATAGATGTGGAAGGAAAAGAAGTACATCCAACATTGGTGATAGGTAAAGAGGAACCATCACCGACGGTGATGCGAGTCGAAGTATGAACCGGAGTGGAGGAAGTTAGGGTACCGGGATGAGATGTCATGTGGGCGGTGGTGCACGAGTCCATGTACCAATCTCCAACGGCACCGTAGTTGTTCGGTGACAGGGCCGAGTGCAGCGTAGCCAAAGGAGTAGGGTCCCATGGCTTATAGTTTCGCCTCCCAACCTTTTACCTCAAGGGTAATGTCAACAATAATAATTTATGAATACCTACATTCAAGTGGATATATATATCAGGATCTTTCCAACATATAGTGCTTGGCAAAGAATAAAGTGTAAAAAGGGAAGGTTAAGATCACCATGACTCTTGTATAAGGGTCGAAGGTAAAAATAAAAGATAGGCCCTTCGCAGAGGGAAGCAGAGGTTGTCATGCGCTTTTATGGTTGGATGCATAAAATCTTAATGCAAAAGAACGTCACTTTATATTGCCACTTGTGATAAGGACCTTTATTATGCAGTCCGTCGCCTTTATTTCTTCCATATCACAAGCTCGTATAAAGCTTATTTTCTTCACACTAATAGATCATACATATTTAGAGAGCAATTTTTATTGCTTGCACCGATGACAACTTACTTGAAAGATCTTACTTAATCCATAGGTAGATATGGTGGACTCTCATGGCAAAACTGGGTTTAGGGATGTTTGGTAGCACAAGTAGTATCTCTACTTGATGCAAAGAATTAGCATGAGGGAGAAAGACAAGCACAACATATTGGATGATCCATGACAATATAATTTATTTCGGATATAAGAAAACATAACCCATTATATTGCCTTCCTTGTCCAACATTAACTTTTTAGCATTTCATATTTTAATGAGTGCTCAGAATAATAAAAGATGTCTAATATAGTATATTTATATGTGAAAATCTCTCTTTCTTTATTACTTCCTGTTAATTGCAACGATGACCAAAACTATGTTTGTCAACTCTCAACAATTTTTATTCATCATACTCTTTATATGTAAAGTCATTATTCTCCGTAAGATCAATATGATCTTTTTATTTTCTTTTTATTCTTTCTTTTGTTCCCTCAAGATCATGGCAAGAGAGCAAAGCCCTCAACTCAAAACTACTCTTTATTATATATAACTCACGAACTCGATTACATAGATAGGGATCGAAACAAAACTCAAAGCTAGATCAAACTAAATCTTTATTCTACTAGATCAAGATATAACCAAAATGATCGACCTAAGAAAAACGGTAAAGATAAAAATGCGATGTTGATACGATACTGGGGAACCTCCCCCAAGCTTGGTAGTTGCTTTTAAAAAATCAAGAAAGCTAACTTTCTGCCGACTCGACGTTAGCAACAGATCCTAACGATTATGTCGTACATTACTCTAACTTCCTGCCGACTGGACGTTATACGTTACTCGCTTGTTGTGTTATCATTCTCTCGTTTTTCCATCTTCTATTCTTTTCCCAAGAGGTAAAAAATATATGCTAGTGCCAGGGATCAAGCTTTGGACCTCTGGTTGTTTGGTAAGCAAAACTACCAACTAGTCCATGCTACGTTCTTGTGTAGAATAAAAAAAATTATGTACTTAAACCTACAAGGAAGTAGTTACAGCCCACAAAATAATGCATCAATTTGGCACAAAATAAAGCATCAGTTTGGCACCCCTAAAAAAAGAGCATCAGTTTGGCACACTACAAAACTGAACCAAATAACCGGTGAAAGCCATAATTTTAGGGATTACCTTTGAAAGTCTCAGGAGTCAAATGATCCATATTAACACTCATACACTTTCGCTTTTATTTTTTATTTCTATTTTGTTTCTATCACACCATGTGCCTGGTTTCTTGGGTGATTACCTACGAACTTACATACAAAAAGGGTGTTAACTTTAAATTAGATTTTTTTTCTGTTGAAAACATACCGCCGGTAACTACTGTATAAATATCGTGATAACTTACACATGCAGAGCTGATAACTCTCGTACAAATATCATGATAACTTTTGACCCTATGATACAGGTTATTGTGAAATATACATCCGGTATCTTCTATGTAGATACCATGGTAATATACGCAGCATAGAGCTGATAACTAACTTAGCCGAAACATGGTAACTTTTGAGCCGGAGATTTTTTTTCTTGAAAAACTCCTCTGATAACTCATGTATAAATAACTTAGTATATACATACAGTAGACCTGATAACTTACTTAGCCCGGACGTGATGATTTCTTGTCCTGGATTTTTTTTATTAAACCATACATCCGGTAATTTATGTATAAAAACCATGGTAATTGTGGGCTAAGATTACTTTTTTTTGTTCTAAACATACCCTCGATAACTCATGTGTAATTACATAAAAACGACATGTTAAATTTCACCCAGAGATTCTTTTTGTTGAAACAACCCCCAACAACTTTTTGTGTTAATATCATGATAATTTATGCATTGTAGACCTCATAATGTACATCCAAACAACTTGATAACTTTTTTATCCGGTCACAAAAAATTGTTCGAACATACGCCGGTAATTTATGTGTAAATAAGATGATAATTTATACACAACAGACCTAATAGCTTACATATAAACACATTGATAACTTTTAACCATAGATGGAAAAGGTTGCGGAAATATACCCTGATAAGTTAGGTGTAAATAGCATGTAATTTACGCAACAGACACCCGGTAACTTACATACAACCCATTGATTACTTTTTACCCATGGAAAAAAGTTGTTGAAATATGCCCCGGTAACTACTGTGTAAGTATCAATGTTCATTTATGCAACACGGACCTCATAACTTATGTTCAAGCACCATGGTAACTTTGACTTCAAGGAAAAAATGTTGAAACATAACCTCTTCCGCAATTTCCATGTAAATTTATGGTAATTTTACGGACCATAGACCTAATATCTTAAGTTTAAACACCATGGTAACTTTCATCTAGGAAAATTTTTTGTCGAAACATCCCCGGCGTGAAGTTACCACTGTCCCATGCTAAAGTTATCATGCTTCTCATGGTATAGTCATTAACCTTCTCATAATGTAGTTATCAGACTTATCATAGTATAGTTATCATGTTGCTCAGGTCATAGTTATCATGCCGGTGATGCCAAAGTTACCAAGAAAAATATATTATTATTGCTAATATGAAAGAAAAAAGGTTCAAATAACCTTGTTTATATACAATAAACAACAACTAAAGATGGCTTAGTTGGTTATTGGGGTTATTGGGCTCAATGCAATTCGTCCGGATCTATCGCTAAAATCAGGACGTCAGGAAGTTAGTATTGTCCTTAAAAAATATGTATGTGTGATCCACATGCATGCTAGGGTCAGCCCCAGCTGGCGAGGACAAATGAGATGGATTGGAAGAAGGTAAGGATGGTAATTTTACCAATAGAATGGATACCCATGGATACATCATCCAAATTAATAGAGTATGGGCACATTTTCGTACCATGGGCAGTGTGTCCAAAACCTACCCGACTAACCGTGGATAGGACATGAATACAATTTTGTGGCTGGGTATGTCCAAGCCATCTTATTAGTGGGTAACATGTGTTATAAACCCTGAACTGATATGTATGTAAGCTCCATGCCCACCCATCCTCTTCCCGATAACCAATTCTTCAACCATAGAAACTTCTCAACGGTTGGCACATGTACAGAAGATGAATCCAGCAATTACGCCATCATTCTTCAGTGTTGTGTTGATCTGCCCAATAGATATGAGGCATGGACATAGATATTACCGGACAGGTAGGGTATGGGTACGATTTTACGCTCATGAGGAACATGGGTATAGGCAATGGGATTATTATACTTGCACCGTACCCTACCCATTGTCATCCTTGGGCGTATTTGCCCAGTCCGACTGGAGATGCTCTAACCGCTCCGGTAAACATGTTCTTCTCAATTTTTGCCTTAATGTAACATATATATTGAACATTCTGATGGTTACAGAATGTTTTCCTATAAATTACAGGTATAGGTATATCTTCAGTCTTTTGTATACCTTGTGCAGCAGCAAGGAGACATGAACCGCATTCTACCAAAATAACGAACGATATTCTATAATGGGGCCTTCACTTTATTCCTTTATATAAATAAAAATAACCACACCCAACACCACTCCTGACTGTTGACGGCTGAAAGGTATTCCTGCTCATGGAGCAAACGAGAAATCCTTACTCCGTTGTGTGAACCTGTCCTGTATTGGTTTGAACCTTACTCCTGAACATTTCTCGATTAATTACAACTTCTGCCTAGCTGATTCGGCGTCACGCAGCTGTGCATACATATCTGCGAGTTCTTTCGCGAAATAGGCCTTAGCTTGCGGTCTTTTGACCTGTAAAGGGTTCAGAGCTCATACTACTGAGATTAGCTTTCCCGTATTTAAACCTACTCTCTCCGTTCGGAATTACTTGTCACAAAAATAAATAAAAATGGATGTATCTACAACTAAAATACATCTAGATACATTCATTTCTTGGACGAGTAATTCCGAACGGAGGGAGTACTACTGTAACAGAATGAACGTGCTTACCTTGAACGTGGGGGTGAGGAGACCATTTTCTACTGTGAATGGTTCAGCAACAAGAGTAACAGCTTTGGCGAATTCAAAACCTCTTAGCTGGTAGATGATAATACAAATATTTATCAAGGGATGATACACATAATAGATTACTTATGGAGAATGTATGTACAGTCGGAAGTGAAGAGAGAAACCTGTGCTTCCTTTCCAATAGAATCCATGTCAGCCAAGACAGCAGCTTTTGCTCTTGGGTCAGCACAAAGCTGTCTTAAATCCTCGCTCTAGAGATTAGACAGGATGTATATTAGAAAATAACATGACAAGATTGAATTGTATGCGAGAACCATTGGAGGATATATGAAATAACAATAACACAAGAAAGTACGACCCAAGTGTGTTATTTCTCAGCACCACTTTAAGCATGAAACCAGGAACGAAACTTTCCTTCGTTCATGGTCTTGAGAAATAAAGTGACATAACAACTTTCTCAAAAGAGGTTTCCCAGTAAAACTTGTAGACTTTGCAAATCAATATTTTTAGGAATATTTGAACAGGAGGAAAAGTGTGCTTGTATGCATAGTATGCAATGATCGTGATAATGTGAAACCCTGAAGTAGTCGTCTCCCAGTCATCATAAGAACAAGAAAAATGGTTTTTTTTATCTTTCCTATACTTAAATCCTGTTTGGTAACCTTTGGGAAGGGAAGGGGAGGGGGAATTCACACGAGGGAGTTCATCAAAGAATTAGGCATGGGAATAGAATTTTACTCCCATTCCCTTGTTTGGTACTCCCTCCGTCCGGAAATACTTGTCCTCGAAATGAATGTATCTAGACTTATTTTAGTTATAGATACATCTATTTTATTAATTTCTAGGACAAGTATTTCCGGACGGAGGGAGTATATGATAAGAATGTTCGCATGAATTAACAGGGCCCCGATGGGAAGAAATTGGTATATCTCTCTCTCAATGTAAGCCAACTCATCCAGAAAACCAAGATAGTGACCTCTATTGGTGGCAAATGAAGTATTCGACCTGTTGTGAATGATAACTACCATGCAGAAGGTAGCCAGACTCTGGCTGCGAGAGATTGGGTGGACATAGGTTCAGAAAGAGAGGATAGGGAGAGAGATTAGATTGATTATTTCTTGCTTCCCTGAAACATAGATACATGGGATCCTTATATGGTGGAGGTTTAGACCCTTGATCACTCCTAATGCGATTAGACTTAATAGACCTTTTCGTACACAACAGGACTTTTTCCTAATCCTATACTTTCCTGAAGGACTTTCCTCTTTTATTTGCTGCTGCAAATCTTTGCCCAACACATGACCATCTTCTGCTACAATACAAAACAATCCTGGTCTCCTGGTCTTCTTGCCATCCAGCCGTCCATAATGGAACTAGTGCTGCTTTAATGCGCTGTACTAACATAATCAACGGGACCAGTTTAAGCCGTTTGTTTAGTGTCGGTTTCCAGCTAATACCATGCTGCCATGTTACTAGCATTTCAAAATTCCAGGACACCACAAAAAAGTACTGTAAACGAACTCTTAAAATCCTTTGGAGGATAATGCATGGTGTCGGGATAGTAGCACGAATATAAGCTTGTATATATCTAAAAGCAACACTCTAGCTACCGCAAGGCTCAAGAAGGCCCGGATCACACACCCAACATTTTGAGGTTAAGTGTTCAATACTAACACTAATTCACTAAATGAAAAGGACTTGCTTAATTCTATGAATGATCAAACATAATATTAGGAACAACCCATGCTTCTTTGAATCACAAGAATTGGAAAGCACAGGAATAGGAAAAAAAACATAAATGAGACGTCACATATTTTGGGCTTCTGTACAATCTCAAAACAGGAATAATTGAACCTTTGGATGGTTCACATGAAATAAATGTAGGAATGTTGGAGGAATGAAGAACATAAGTCGTGAGATATAAAGAGAGGGTCCATTAGAATTCTAGAAGGAAAATAAGGTTTGAGCTTATGCTGGTTTCCTATGCAATTAGAGACAGGAATTTGACAACCCCATCCCTCTGATGCATAGGGTCCTTACAGGAAACAAATTATTGAGGATAAGAATCCCACAAAAATTCCTATGAAATCATACAATTCAAAGAGGCCCTAAGTCGAATTTGAGTAGAAACAGTGAGTTCATCTCAATGTTTGCTTTTATAAGGTAGTGGGAAATGAAAGGTTAAAGTACTTACTTGTATTCCTTCTGATGCAGCCCAAGCCTTCAAAACATCTGGTTCAACTGCTACAATGGCAACTAGAAAAGAGTTGAAACTATCACCTGCATCCAAATAAACAAACTCAGAAAACACGTCACCAAATTGATAGGTACAACTTATATAAAATCATGAATATTACCATATATAAAGCATTGAGCAATGAACTTGCACTTAGCGTACACATTCTCAATCTTCTCTGGAGCTATGTACTCTCCTTGAGCCAACTTGAAAATGTTCTTTTTCCTGGAGTCCAGCGAAATATAGAACAGTAAGAAATGGAAGAAAACTAGTCAGACCAAACAAGTCTAGTTGAACATACTAAATGAATTAACCTAGGGAAATCTGCGGAAAGAGATTGGGTGATTACCCAAAGAGTCTCTAATCTAAATAAAAGGATACAGAACTGTGAGCTGAGGTGATTCCTCAAAATTCTCCAAACATTACACTACTTAACAGGACAAAAACCTGCCAAGTTCAACGGTTCAATAACAGTGAGCAAAATTCTAATAATATTTATGCGTGATCAGATCTTGATCAGTACTTGAGAAGGTCGATATGCTGCTTTCACTCTGTAACACTCTAATTTTAAGGTCGCAAACTTGTCTTTAGATAGTCCTTAACATACTTGACATTATATTGATTCAAAGAATAACTGAGTGGCAGACATTATACTCCCTCCGATCCATATTAATTGTCGCTCAAACAGATGTATCTAGATACATCCATTTCAACGACAACTAATATGGATCAGAAGGAGTACCGTAATTTGAAAGAAATCATGCCGCACTTCAGAATAGTATCAAGTTCTAATAACATATTAGAGTTTTATCATCTACCATGCCAACCTCACATAATACATTCTACGTTCAAGTGAGCATTAAGAGTTTATTTGGCAATTTCTGAGTAGCAATAGAAATCTGTACAGAAGTTAAAAGCACTGATACATAAGATATAACTTCCCCTCAATAGAAACGGAAGCAGATGGAAACTTAAGAACATAGGTTCATAATTTGATAGAATCATGTGTGCCTTGTCTACTTTGTGCACCCTGAACAACTAACAAAATCATAACAAAAATCCAACTAGCTTAGAAGCGCTCCAACATGCTACAGAAGTTCAAGTCCTTGTAAGGATATAAAAGCAAAAGATCAGTCATAAGAATATGAAAGCAAAAGAATAATTTTCAGCAAATAATTATTCCCTTGCTGGCATTCGCAGCCGCAGGAACCTGTGACATACATTTTCCTTTTTCTGAAGAATCACTTTCACTTGGAACTTCGTTAGATAATAGATCAACTATACTCCACAGCTATTTCAATTGTTTAGTGATAGTTCTAATAGCTCGCACATCGACAGTATAAGAGCACTAAACAGATAAACTACACCAGATTAAGCAATCTAAATGAAAGCAAAATGCACATAATTGCCATCCAGTTTTCCGGTTTTACCTATCTATAATTTTTAGACGCCCTCCAGGCAGCCACAAACCTATGTCTCCAGTGTGCAACCAGCCATCATTGTCAATGACATCTCTTCTGCAGATTTTCAAATGCATTTATTTTAGCTCACTTAATAGATTCAAAAGTTCAAATAGGAGTTGGAGGATAGCAAATTACGTTTGGACTTCGTCTTTATAGTAACCGCGGAATATTGTAGGTCCTCTAACACAGATTTCTCCACGAGGATATGGTTGATCCTCAGAAGTGTAATTCATTTCTGGGACATCCACAAGTTTAACCTCTGAAATGAAAACAATATTTGCATTACGAAAGAGAGAATAAGAAAATACAAAACTCCATGTAATATTACAAATGAGACCTTAATTTCTGTCAACATGGAAAGATATTGAAAGAGTTCTCAAGACACAATATAATTTGTCTCTGGATAAAGAAATCCACTCAACATGGGTCCATGGACCTTGCTAAATGAACCTCAAATAAATATCTTCAGCTCTGCTTGTGTTAACCTACTTGTTCCTCACCTTTTTTGTTTCTTGGTAGCGCTGTGTAAGCTTCTTGTTTTTGCTTGTTCCATTTTTATTCGGTTTTATTAGACTTTGTAGTTTTCGTTTGATTTTTTGGTTGTTTTTCTGCAATCTCATTGTGCTGCTCTTCTAATACAAAACAGTACGCATTTTGATGTGCGTTCAAGAAAAGAATGAATTCCATCTGACATGAACACTGACACTGACATGCTGACTTCGTGGCACGAGCAGAACAACAGTGTGTTCAGGGACAGCATTCGACCTAGTATCCCTCCTGGAGTATCAAGGAAGATGTCGAGCTTGTGCCACTTTAGAGTGTGTTTGTTGGTAGAACGTGAGTGGTTTCCTTTACTTTTAGTAAATTAGCCACATGTCGGTTTCGCGATTTTATATGACTGGATTCTTGCTTAATGAAAAGATGGGCAAGCCTCTACTACATTCTCTAAAAACAGTAAATCTAACCTACATTTACTCATCACTAGCTAATTGCCCGTGCTTTGCAACGGGGTCATACATATTTTAGTGGTTCAACACCAATCATGTCCGACATAAATCTTGCACCCATCATATTCTAGATTTTGGTAAGATTTGATTTGATTTGAGTATGGTAGGGAAAGGCAAGGAAATTTTTGATTTAGTTAAGGTTTTGATAAGATTTTATTTGATTTGAAGTTCACGCGGGATGTGGGGGAGGGGGGGTTGGACATACAAACGTACAATCCCCAATTCCCCTTTAATAGTAGAGATTACTAGAATGGATTCTCTATGCACTAATAACATAAAATAATGACTTCACAAGAATATTATGGTCAACCTAAGCACACATTTTAACCAAACAGAAAACTTACCACAGGAAGGGTTTGGTGATCCAACATGACCAATTAATTTGTCACCAATATCCATTGTAGTGATGACACAAGATGTCTCTGTCATTCCATAGCCTTCAAGAACCTCACCACCAAAGCATCTACAGAAAGTTAAAACAGTGTTTACTTACTAAGAACATGGAGTTACCAACAATTATCACACACGGCAGCACACAAGGTATAAGCTTACATTCTTAGGAATTCCATTACATCTGCTGACAATGGAGAAGCGCCTGAAGTCATAAGCCTCACTCGTCCACCAAGCCTAGCTTTTATTTTATTAAATACCAACTTATCCCACATTGGGGAAGGATTTCGTCCTAAAACACAACGTCATAAGTAAATTTCATTATATATGCAAGAGAATGAAAGTGGATCAAATGACAAATACGGTGTGCTTACAAGAAGAATGAAATTTGCATCTTGCAGTATTCAGTTATTGCTAAGCAACAGAAATATAACTAACACAAGAGGATTACTATCCATGTTTCCAACTTGGAAATTATGATTACTTGCTATCTACAAGAAAATCATGAAAATGCTACATAAGCTCTATCTTTCCAATTATCACACATATCAACCCCTTTAATCTTTATTAAGAGTGACCTACATAAAGAGCTGGAACCCATTTGGTCGTTCACTTGCACCTTTGGTATTTTCAGTCTCTAGGTTAAACATGTCAGCAGCCACTTATCTTCATATCCAGCGTTCATTTACAAGAAAAACACAGACAATATTATGGCATTTAGGACTACTTTAAGAAAGCACAATAAACTTCTAAACTAAGTGAATGCAGAAGGAGCACAAGAAAGCGAGCCCAATCTGACTAAAGCTAACCTGAAGCAAAACGGAACCCTGGGCACGAATTATACAGGAAGGAGAAGGAACAAAACTTCATCTTTAGTATAGGCTCTTTAAAAGGAACAATGTCGGATTTTATAAAATTATAGAATAATTTTGCTTGCACATGCCCCTCTTCTACATATGCTTGGTCTCTAATAAAATTCTACTGTCGGGGCTGCTGCTACACTTTTCAATTCAAAAAAGAATCAATCAATCTACGGGATAACGCGTTATGGTCAACATACACAGGTGCATACAGTGAATTGTGTGACAACTAATTGGCGCATGGTGTACAAGTATTGGTGTGCTGAGTTCATGCTTCACTGGTAAACAACAATTATGTTAATTGGTTTCTAGACAAAAATATGATGGATGGAACACTGAACTTAAATGAACTTCATGATGTGCTTACCATTCATAAGTGCTTGTCTCTTGGCGTTGTACGCAGTACGGAATAATCTTTCTTTTAGCCCACCGGAATCCTTCACAGCATTTGTGATTCTATGGAGTAAACAAGCAATGAACCAGTTAACAAAACCTAGTTGAAGAAAATGGACCTCAGAAAAGGTATGGCTAGCGATATGCATAATGAACATGAAAATGTGTAATAACTGGTATAGTTGTATTACGCAGAATAAATTCTGTTATATAGCCGGGGAACACTTGCGAATACGGTTGGTCTCAAAGCAGCCAAATCATCCATCAGCTTCAAATTATCCTGGAAACAGCGGTATATACTCATGACAAGTACTATAATTGGATGGTTAAAATACTATCTTGGTGATGAAAGATCTTGATGCATATGGCCTTCAAGTAGTCTCTGAACGATCCAGAGCTTTCATGAGAAGTTACCCAGACCAGAAACAACTCAAGTGCAAACTATTGCATTAGATGAGTAAAACTTATACAGGATCACATATTGCCAGTTACTTCTCTCAATACATGTCCTTTCTGTCGTTCACTTTCTTAGGTACCTAGTTACTCCAACAATAATGCAAAGTACTACTAACTCTCATCTTAAATAGTTTCAAATCTGCATACCCCTTGGTAAAATCCAATGGCAACACCATAGTGAAGCAGTGCAATTTGGTTAGCTCTCTCATAGATGTGAGCTAAAGGTAGATATGAGATATACCTGAGGAGACATGACAATGTTATTATCATACAAAAAATGAGTTTTTGTACATTGAATAAGCTACGGCAAAAAAAGAAAGGGTATATCAAATCCTCACACGTCGGAGGGGTAAAACTTAACGCCCAAGCTTGATCCTGCAACATTCGCTATTAAGTTCTCATGAGAAAGAACAGCTCCCTGGGAAAAGATTGGCATCCAATATCACATGTCTGAAAGTAGAAGTGGACGAGTTTCATGATGAAGCAAAGAATAATAAAAACAGTGAATGATTTACCTTTGGTGTGCCAGTAGTGCCACTCGTGTAGCAGATAGTGGCAACATCTTCAGGTTTTGGAGGACGGTAAGTTTGAGAACTCATCTTTCCCTGAGTTAAAAAGGCAACATAGGACATTATTGAATCCCACATGCATGGAGTCAATACACATGGTTTTCGGGTCGCGACTCATGCGAGTCGCTCTGGGGCAGCGACTCGGAAGAAGTCGAGCCTGCGTTGTGACTAGTCGCGACTCAGAGTCGCGAGTCGACACTAAGCTGAGTCGACCATATTTTTGCGACTCATAGACTAGTCGCGACTAGTCGAGCGACTCGAAATCCATGTACACACTAAAATGAAGGCAATATATCCAGCATGCATATAAGCATACTAACACAAGTACTGTTGTTATTAAACAGAAAAAACTATTAAAAAAATGTGGCTTCAACAGTAGAGTGCCTAATCCATGTGGTAGTTCTACCATTTGTTGTTACATGTTGCGCACGCTAGTACATTGCGCCAATGCTGCAGCTCAGTTTTTTTTCAAGAAAACACAAAGACTACGTTTCATTTCATTGAAAGGATAGAGTTTTTTGGTTACAACCTCCTAAGAGGCAGTAGCATAGAAAAAAGGTTACAATCAATGAACATCCCATGTTGCTGGCAGTATCACTCGAAGGCCCCATGCACCTGCTCTAGCCCAGAGCGTGGCCTCGGTCCTGATATTGTCAACAAGGGTCTGAATGGAGGGCTCGGCACCTTCGAAGATGCAATCGTTTCAATGCTTCCAGATCATCCAGGGCGTGAGTAGGGTGATGGAACCCGGGCCCTTGCGCAGCTGCTTTGGCGTTTCTGTTTTGCGCTCAGCCACCAGTCCATGAGCGTGTCCTCCTGGTTTGGGGCAGCGACTGTCATCCTCAGCCAAGCGAGGATCTCATGCAAGTGTGTCGGGCGAAGGGGCACTCCAGGAGTGGATGCCGCATGGTTTCTAGGGCCTGAGCGCAGTGGGGGCAGTGGGTGTGGTGCGGCAGGCCATGCCGGGATAGCCATTTTGTGGTCCAGCATCTATCTTGGTTGGCTAACCAATGGAAGAATTTGACGTGTGGGGGTACCCAGTTCTTCCAAAAGAGCTTCCAGGATGCGCATGTTGTGGAGCCATAAAAGGTTGCGAGGTAGCAGGATTGTGCCGAGTATATACCATTGGCCGTCCACTTCCATATCAACTGGTCTGGTGCGTCGGAGAGAGCTGTGTGCTAGATCAAGAGATGAAGAGAGCCGTGAAAGGGTGCAGCTCAGTTAGGCCAAACATATTTGCAACAGGAGATGAAGAGATGGCCACCTATTGGGCAGGGACTTGCAGCAGTAAGGAAAC